CTCTCCCTCCTATCCAACACATTCCCAAGCACACATCAGGCATTCTTCATGTACCTACTATTTTTTAGTTTCTTGTAGCCAATAAAGAGGATTGGGGCTGGTCTGCTGTATAAATACACATTTTACTTTAATATAAATCTAAACAAATGAAGGTAAAATATGAATTAGCACATGGATCATTTGCTGATTTTTTCTCTATTCTTAAACAAACAAACAAACAACAAAACAAAACACCTTGGAATGAAAGGCTCCTTAAACTTAGGACTTTATCATGACATCAAAAAGATGACTCAGTGGGACAATATATCGAAGTTAAGCCAACAGAATGGGAACTATGTACCACTAATATAGTAAATATAAGCCTAATTTTACATACATAGTAGGTAAATATTTGTTGAACTGTATCAAGTAGAGCAGTTTTGGGTTTCAAACATAGAAAATAGTTACAACCTGAGAAGGATCACACTGGAAAGTAAGGATCAGATTAGAGGGGGCTTTGAATGCATTTCTCATTAGTTTTAATTTTACTTTCAGCATAGAGCTATGGATGGCTCTGGAAATGAGAAAACTGACATGTGAAAAGCAGCGATTTAGAAAGTTGAATTTGGCAAGTTGGTAAGATGGATTGGAGCAGGGAGAGATAATTGCATACAACTCCCTTCTCACAGGTGATTTTTTTCCCCCTTATTCCTCTTAAATCAGATAACTACTTTGTTTCCCTTTAATCTTATAAATGATATCCATTTATGCTACCTGAATTGTCATTTTTGTATTGCTTTAAAAGTAATTCTAAAGTAATTTTTATTTTTTTGTACGTTGTTTTAAAAGTAATTCTAGTGTTATCTTCTTGAATGTTTTCTTTCCCCAAATAGATTGTGCCTTTTGTGAATTGTGACCACTCTGTAATATATATCAGAATAGATGACACAATGAGATATTTTATTCATTCTCCACCTATCTTGTAAGAGAACCTTTTAGAACACTGATATGAAACTCATTTGAAATACTTTTGGAGAATCTTTTTGTTTATTTTTCTGTATGGGGTTAAAAGATGAACATTTTATACATGCATTTTAACAGCTATTAATTAGGATCAGTTACTGCAAAACTTTTAGGGTATTATTTTCTTATGATTGTTTTTTAATGAAGATAAATGTGTAGACGAGCAACTATAATAAATTCTTTCCCATGTCTTTGCTCTCCTTCCCTTACTTTCTACCCCCAGGGTTTCAAGTCCTATTTTTAAGCCTGGTTTCATTGAGTTGTTTTCCTTAATATCTGTCACATATATTTGACTGACACATTTGTTGAATGTACCAGGGGGCCTGCATGCAGAGCCTGCTAAACTTTAAGGGCTTGTTTTTTATTTCAGAGAAGTTGAGTCAAATTAATACTGGTCCTTAGAGAAGCAGAAAACTTCTGGGTGTTGACACACTGGCGAGGAGGCTCATACAATGTCTCCCTGTAGCCTGGAGGCCGGGTGGATTTGATTGACCAGTCCTCACAAAATTGAAAGGCCTTCTTTCGAATGGCAGCCTGCCACCCTAAGTATTTGTCAGTGTGGGCACTGGAGCAGAATAGCATTTGGAAAGCAAATAAAATGTAATTGCAAATAAGAGCAAAGTTGAAGGAGAATGACTATATTAGAGGGAGAGAAGAAGGAGGAATGGCTCCGTGTGCTTACGTGGGGACATAGCACTTCACTCATTTACAGGACTCTTAATCCTTGAAAATATGAGTAGGATATCCTCCATACTGATCCAGCTTTGCATTAATCCTGTAAGACCGTTGTGTCTCACATATGCTTACCTGATTTGGGAAGTAATTTTTTCAGTTATGTAATTGTAGAAGAATGGGATGGGCTGTGTTCTGTTTATCTTTTGAGGAAAGTTATGAAATTGGTATCAATAAATCAGTGATAGGATAAGAAATTGTTTTAATGTATTTAATGAAATGGAGAGAACAGATATGTTGTCATTGATGTCGTTTAGCTAAGTGTCCCATATATTCTTTTTTTTTTAATTGTGGGCTAAATTTATTGGGCCCTTTTTTTTTTAAGATTTTATTTACTTATTCATAGAGACACAGAGAGAGAGGGAGAGAGGCAGAGACCCAGGCAGAGGGAGAAGCAGGCTCCATGCAGAGAGCCTGCCGTGGGACTCGATCCAGGGTCTCCAGGATCACGCCCCAGGCTGCAGGCGGCGCTAAACCGCTGCGCCACCAGGGCTGCCCTGTCCCATATATTCTTAATGGCCTGCTGAATTTCCACAGTGGTACTTACTTGTACAGCTCTTACTCAGTGTTTGTCTGTCACTATCACATTCCTGTTTTCTGAGGTTGGTCACTTGATTGTAAATAACAATAGCAAAAACTAAGACCCACGTGATCTTTTAACTTTACATTTTGTTTCACAATCCACAAAGGCCAGAAGTTAGCAAATGCTTTGTTATGTAGAGACCATCCGTTCCTTTCTAGGTTGGGTTATCTCTTTTTTTAATTTACTAATTTGAGTAACAAACATAGGTAATGAGAAGAACTATACCTACTGTAGTTAGGACAGTAGTCTCTATTGATGTAGTGACATTTAAAAATGAATTATAAGAATTCTGGGCATATAGTGTGATGTCTAAGACTGCCATCAGCAAATATTGGCTAATTACATAAATGTCTCCAGAGTCTTAACAACAGAATACCTGCTCCCTATCTAATCTTGTGGAATAAAATCTGCTTTTTCTAACAAACTTTACTGTGTGAATATTTTATTGGATATTTTAAAGAGATGTTTTTAAATGTGTTCTTTCTTTCTAAGACATTTCTGGTATAACTGGAAGCCACCATTTTTCAGAAAATAAAATAATCACCTACTTGTTAACTAGAAATTATAACTTTGATGTGATGTTTAAAATCATTTCATTTATTTTTATGAAGATTATTATCTAACCCTAAATTATAAATTTTTACAACAGTGTTTCTTGATATTTTATAATACTTTGAATCATCGCCTAATAATCCATGCTTCCACGTTTAAAACACACTGTAACGTCAATATAATACTGCTTTCCATGGGCTGAATTCTGTATTAAGATTTTATTCTCAGATTTTCAGTATGGGGTTTCTAGTCACAAAGTTGCAAAAGGTTCCCAGAGTAAAAACATTTTACTCCTGAGGCAGAGACCAGTGACATGAACCCTGAGAAGATCATCATGCATGGACCTCAGTGTTGCATAATTTCATTTACAAATATTCTAAATAATGACTGTTGGCATACCTTCAAAAGTAAAACAAAATTTGACTTGAAATAACAGTAAAGGGCATTCACCCCTCTTTTTTTTTTTTAAAAAAAAAGGGCCACATACTATGTGAATTTGTAAAGTTATTTAAATTTCTACCTTTCATACTGTAAATCTTTTGTGAGTTATCTGCAGCAATTGAATTGAGCTTACAGTTCATACATATATGATTTCTGAGAAATACGTAGTATGATTATTTCTGACTAGATTGAAAGCTTACATTTGTATTGTGGGATAAATTAGTTAGAAATTCTGTTTTATTGTATTCAGTTGCATTGTTTTCATCAGGCAATTTATCACATGGGTGTATGTGAAATTTCTTCATTTATTAAATTTCAGATTATGTATTTCAAGCCAGAGCAAGACTTAAACATTTTTCCATAAGTATAGCTTCAGGTAAACAAGCAATTTTAGCCCTGAAAATAGCTTCTGCTTCTGTCAACACGTTGTTTATTCTTTCTCTGAGATAAAAAGTTCAGTTTTCTGATATTTGTACCAAGATAAAGTCAGTAAACAAGATTAATATAGTGTGGAAAAGGTTGTCAGCAGCCCTGGCAAAGGAAATAAGTTGCCTGTACATAGAACATACTGTAAACTGAATAAAAGTGTCAGGTCCACCATGAGATAATGTGATCATGAACCTCTAACAAAGCATGACATAGGCACAGTCGGCTTTTCTCATAGCCACAGTGTAGAAAATGGATTACTGTATTCCTGGGATACCCACCGGAATAGCATGAAAACCTCATTTTGAGATGAATGCAGGATGTAGTCCTGGAGTTGGGCCACATGTTTACCTGTGGTGCCCAAACCATAGAGTTATTAATGTCATCATCTGTGCACATTTGCAATATTTGCATTTCTTGGAATTTCAGAGTGTGTGCTGGCATCTTTGTTACCCAAGTGATAAAAGAATAAATAATTTTTCGCAGATGTTAGGTGTTTTTACATAGGCATTTTTCTGCCTCCTCGTGCCTTTTTATTGATTGTATACTTTAAGTGGCACTTTATAATTGTGGAGGGGGGTTATTATTATTATTATTATTATGTAACTTATGACCCTTTGTTGTAAGATATGCCTTGTTGACTGGGATTGTAGATTCATTCTTGCGTGGTGCTGCTTATGTTCCCTTTTGAGAACTCTCCATAAAATCAAAGTTTTGAGTGTTTTTTTTAATGAGAGTAGCCCACATTATGAAAAACATGTTGAGCCTTTAGTTCCTTATCGATTTTAATTTTATTTAGAAACAGAGGAATAAAATATTCTTCTTTTAGTTCTTACATGTTGTTCTATATAAATACACAGATTATTCCTGACTTCATGGGGAAACTATGAAAAGGACTCGTGACTACTTCCTTGACTTGAGTTTTTATATGCATTTAAGAAGTGCACATTTTAAAACATCTTTGTATGTAGGAATTAACTTTGGTTAATTGGTTTTTGGAAATATTGCTTGCTCAACTCTAATTGAGCCTCTTTTTTTCACTTATGAAGGTACTTTTAAAATAGTCTTAAAATTCTAGCAGAGGAACCACACTACAGCGTTCTTACATGCAATGTTGTTTAGCTTTTGAGAATTAATATTTTATTCTCTATTTTAGATGGGAAGCCCTCGAACGGAAATGTCCCTATTATTCACAATCATTTTTGTTTTTGTTTTTGTTTTTAGAAACTCATCTGTGACATTTTTGTTTCAACTCTCATTTCAGGTGAGCTCCCCTGGCCCTGTCAGTAACAAGAGGATGGTTCACTTTTCCCCAGATTCTCATCACCATGAGTGAGTATGCACTGATTTGTATAATCTTGTTGGGATGGTCTACATCCTTCTTGTGGAAAATTGAAAGCAATTGCTAGTAAAGTAGTTTCATTTTGTACTTCTCTTGAGAAAAAGTAAATACCTTATCCCATTGACTGTTGTGCAGGTCCCATTTCAACCTGTGGCAGGAATGTCAATAAAGATTTTTTAGTACGGTCATTCTTTTATTTGTGACAGAATTTGAATTTCTACATTTTCATTATATTAAGTAGCATCAAGCTCTCCTCCTCCTCATCCTTCCTCTCTCCCTTCCTCCTCACTCTTTCTAAAGCACTAAAATGCAGAAGAAGTGACTATTTAACTCAATACTTCTCTGCTCTCTGCTTCTGCCCAGCATGAGCTGTGAAGGGACCAGGATGTATTTTCATTTAGCAATGGAAAGGAGAGTCTAATTTACTATGTAATTCCAAAAATTAAGCAACTGAGCTTAATTTTGGTGAATTATTGGGTGAATTCCTAGGTGCTAATTCTATTTGTCTTTATTGGAAGAATTTGAAAAGTTATATATTTTGAGTCAATACCATGTCTCCTGTGAAATTGATTGAACTTGAAAAAAGGCTGTAAAAATGTGGAAAGACATGAATTAATGATTGAATGAATTTTCCTCTGGCGAGCAATCCTATTAGGATCCATTAGATCCTGGCTTGTAAATCGTTCCTTAACCAATGTAAAACAAATTATTTTTCATCTATAGCTTATTTTATATAGATTATTAACAGAATTTATATAATATATTGTTCATAGATTATTTTCCACAGTATTTATTTTATAGATTATAATGTCATAATATTCCCTTTTAATAGTCTATTTCATTCCTTTTTATTATCCTAATAAGACTTTTTCTCTATTGTTTCTCAGACAAAAAGCAAAAAAGAGTGAAGCTTTTATTACTCAGACTGACAACCAAAAGTCTTGTATATTTTCTTCTTAATGTTTTGTTTTGACACGAATCAAGAATTCTAGCAAGTAGACGTAGAGACGTTTTTAAACCAAAAATTTCGTTTGATAATGATTGTAAACACCCTGAGGGCAGACAGATCTGTAGTCCTCCTATGCTAAGAGTGCCCCCTCGACAGCGAGTAGTTATTGAGTGAATGAAAACATGAAACTGTGAATTTAAAATGGAACAAATTGGATAATGTCAACTGAATATTACTTCTCAAATTAGCAAGTATGACCGCCATTGTATTCTCCTGACATCCCTTCCATACATCTCCCCAATGGTTGTTAGTCAATTAAATAAGATTTTCTAGGGTGGGAACTCAGTTGTCACTATTTTTAGAGTTTCCTAGGTTACCCCAATGTGTTTGATTACCATTCTATCCACACTCGCCAATAAAATAGAGTCACTTTACTACCTTACACCCCACATGCCGCTGGTTCAGTCCAGTCTCTTCCTCATCTTTTCTACTTCCTGCTCCATTATTTGAAATAAGCTCTGTTATCTGTTACTATAGGATCCTAGTGAATCTTTCTCTCTCTGTTTTCTCACTATTTGAGTACATACTACTTACTTCTACTACTTACGTTCAGTTCCAATTCTTTTATTTCCCTATTTATAAGCCCCAGTACCACTTCTTAACAGCGGAGAAACCTTGTTAGCATATTATTAAACACTCTCCACAATCTGGCTCCCGTTACCTTTCCACCTTATCATTCTCTCTCCCTTATAGATAATGGTCCAGCTCTCTGGTCTGCCTCTTTTCTCTGAATATGATCTCTACTTCACTGTCCTCATTAGCTTGGGATTTTGTTCTTGCAAATATTTGGAATAATATCTATTCAGGTCCTTTGCTCATCTTTTGACTGGATTATTAGATCTTTGCTATTGAGTTGTACAAGCATCCTGTATCTTCTGGATATTAGCCCCTTATCAGATATGTGGTTTGCAAATATTTTCTTACATTCCATAGGTTGTTTTTTTTTTTTAAGATTTTATTTATTTATGCATGAGAGACATAGAGAGAGGTGCAGAGACACAAACAGAGGGAGAAGCAGGCTCCATGCAGGGAGCCCAACATAGGACTGGATCCTGGGTCCCCAGAATCAGGTCCTTGGCTGAACGTGGCGCTAAACCGCTGAGCCACCTGGGCTGCCCCCCGGGTGCTGCTTTTTTATCTTGTCAATGGTTTCTTTTGCTTTGCAGAAACATTTTAGTTAAATGTAGTCCCACCTGTTTATTTTTGCTTTTGTTGCCTGTGCTTTGGTGTCAAATCCAAAAAAACATCATTGCCAGGATCAATGTCAAGGAGCTTACTTCCTATGTTTTCTTCTAGGAGTCTTAGGTTTCAAATCTTGCGTTCAACTCTAATCCATTTTAGGTTGATATTTGTGTATCGTATATGATAGGGCTCCAGTTTCATTCTTTTGCAAGTTGGCTGTTTAGTTTTCCCAAACCACTTATTGAACAAACTGTCCTTCCCCAGTGTATATGCTTGACACCTTTGTCAAAATAATTGACTATATATGCATGGGTTTATTTCTGGGCTCTCTGTTCTGTTCCATTGATTTTTGTGTCTGTTTTTAGCCAGTTACATACTGTTTCGATGACTATGGCTTTGTAATGTTGTTTGAAGCCAGAAAGTGTAATGCCTCTAGATTTATTCCCTATCAAGACTGCTTTGGTTATTTGGGGTCTTTTGTGGCTCCATACAAATTTTAGTATTATTCTGTTTATGTGAAAACTGCCATTGGAATTTTTGTGATTGCATTGAGTCTGTGGATCAATTTGGGTAGTAGGGGCATGGTAGCAATATTAATTTTTCCAGTCCATGAACATATAAAATATTTCCATTTATTTGTGTCTTCTTTCATTTCCTTCTTTAATATTTTATAGTTTTCAGTGTAGATGTTTTACCACCTTCATTAAATTTATTTCTGAATATTTTGTTCTTTTTGATGCTATTACATATGGAATTATTCTTATAATTTTTCTTTCTAGTAGTTTGTTGTATAAAAAACTGATGTATGAATCTTGATTTTGTATTCTGCAACTTTGCTGATTTTGTTTATTAGTTCTAACATCTTTTTGGTAGAGTTTTTAGGGTTTTCTATTTATATATCAAACAGATATGATTTTACTTTTTCCTTTCTGATGTGTCATTTATATTGCCTTTGCTATACTAAGGTACATTCCTTCTATAATAAATTTGTTGAGAGATTTTATGAAAGGATATTGAATTTTGTCAGATGCTTTTTTCTGCATCCATTGAGATGATCATATGGTATTTATCCTTTTTGTTAATATAATATGTCACACTTATTGATTTATAGGTGTTAAAAACCATCCTTGCACCCCTGGAATAAATTCCACTTAATCATTATGTATGATCCTTTTAATGATTTTGGTTTGCTGATATTTTTTGTTGAAGATTTTTGCATCTATATTCATCAGGGATATTGGCCTATAATTTTTTTTGTAGAGTCTTTACTTGGCTTTTATATAATATAATGCTGATCTCACAATGTTACTGTGTGGAAGTATTCCCTCCTTATTTATTTTTTGGAAGATTTGAGAAGCATATTGTATTAATCCTTTTTTATTTTCAACTTAAAAAATTGTATTTGCTTAGAGGCATTAGAATGTCAACAAAACAAGGTGCAGGTTTTTTTTTTTTCTTTTTGCAACTACAGAGTTGTATTGAGTTAAAAGAACAATTATTTTCTATTAGCTGCTTCAGAGACAAGAGAAGTTGAGAACAGTACCATTCCTGTTGTACCTAACAGTTCCTAACAGTACCATATAAACTATGTACCTATGGTTCCTGACAGTACAATATAACTAATTCATGGCGTGCACCATGAGAACCTGCTCTAGCGAAACCTGGGTAACTCAGAGGTTGAATATCTGCCTTTGGCTCAGGTCCTGATACCAGGGTCCTGGGATTGAGTTCTGCACCAGGCTCCCTATGCCTCTCCCTCTGCCTATGCCTCTGCGTCTCTCATGAATAAATAAATGAAATGGAAAAAAAAAAAAAAAGAACCTGCTCTAAATTTTCGTGCCAATTGACAACCCCCATACTGTACTAGGCAAGGTTAGTGGCTACTGAAAATACCACCAGGACAAGGCTATCTAAAGACACATTTGTTAGTGTGTTAACTATACCAAAGAAAAAAAAAGACACTTTACAACTTAAAACCATGACTTACACAGGCTTACATTTTTTATCTTTAAAAGAAATGAGTTGTGTATATGGGGTTTAAATGCTTTATAAACAAGAAAAAAAGAAAAAAACCTGTGTTAGAACCAACTTATTCAGCATTATCATCTTCCTCTTCATCCTCTTCATCTTCCTCCTCTTCATCTTTTTCTTGTTTATTTTTCAGCCTTGAGGACTCCCTTTTTGAGCTCATCAGGCTCTCCTGTAGCTTGCTATGCAGCAGTCTCCTTTTTGTACCTTTCTTCAGCTTAGCAGCTTTCTTCATAAAGCTGCTTGTCATCTGCTGCAGAGTGATTGCACATCTCTCCCCATTTCTTCACAACATCACCAATGGATAGGCTGGGATGCTGATTTGGGGGTGATACTCAGAGCAAAATAAGAAAAAAGCCAGAAGACTCCTCTTGGGGGCTTTTGTGATCCTTGAATTTCTCTTGGTTTCCCCTTTAGGAGAGATACCAGTTTTCATTTTTCTTTCCTCATGGGCCTTATCCACCTTTACCATGTCTTCAGGTTTTTTTCTTTTCTTTCTTCTTTTTTTTTTAAGATTTTATTTATTGTAGAGAGAGAGAGTGCATGTACAAGTAGGGGGAGGTATGCGGGGGGGAAGAATCTCAAGCAGACTCTACGCTGAGTGCAGAGCCTGATTTGGGGGTCAATCTCTTGACATTGAGATCATGTCATGAGCTGAAACCAAGAGTAGGACACTTAACTGAGTCACCAGGGTCCCCCAATTTTTTTTTCTTTTCCTCTCTGAGCACTTCTTAGAACTCTGAGAAGTTAACTGAAGCATCTGGATGCTTC